GGGATAGTATAGCATGCAAAAGCGCAAGTTTTTGGTCGCGTATCTTCCATTATAAGATTTCCAAAAAGGAGTCGCCTTGAGATCATGTTATATCCTACAGCTTATCAAATGCTCTCTCCGTTAATACCATACTCATAAAACTGATACAGAACTTATGAGAATCGTGGAACTCATTCGAAGTCATTTTCTAACCATATTTGGTTCTTTCTCTAATTTTTTTCTTTTATGTATCATTTCAAAAAATCACAACTTCGATAAGCATCTTCATAAACAGTAAATTTCATATAAGCTTCAACCTAGATACAAGTAAATTTTTGCGAATTTTTACTAATCACGATGCAATTTCCCTGGTGATCATGTCATTTTAAGGCATATATTACGTTTCTTCGTTGCTGATGGTTTGCCTAGCAACTTGTGTGAATGTTATTACCCTCAATATGCATCGGAATGGAGCTGCTAATCAAGGAAGGTCGGTTGCTCCCATTAAAGTTATTATTTTGCTAGGCAGTCAGCGGTTTTTTTTTTGTGAGCGTTTCGATGCAAGCATATAATGCAGGCATGTTCCTTGTTGGATGGAGAAGTGGATCCTGGGCTACTTGGCATCGTTAATGCGGATGTCCATACGTGAGCCTGACAACATAGCTTTGCTGAAAACAGCGCAAGTTAGTTTTTTTGAAAACGAATTTGACTCAACAGTGAGAGCTGTGTATGTTGCTACACCCCTTAATCTTTGAATATGAAATGACGAATCAAGTTCATCAAAGATTTTGGACGCGCGTACCAATATTACAAAAAAACATGTTCTTAGAATTTTCTGAAAAGTTACATACTAAGACTAGTTTGCTAGATTTCTGCAAATTCCGCGGAAATAACTATTGTGCTCTGAGTGAGGTGGAAGAGACCTTATAATATAGCATGTACTATTCAGAAAACGTTTCCCATGTTCATACATCTAGGAAGTACAAGAGTATGAGATTATCATTATTCCTCGAATCTCAATGTGGAGACGTACAGCCTTCGGGTATTTGCCGCGTGTGTGTCCCGCGGCATCGAGCCAGTTCTCCGTTCTAGCGGCTGCGCGCAACATGGCATTGGA